AATATCCGTCACAGTCTGGCGCAACCCTCGGTGGCGGCGCTTGCTCCTCTCAGGCCCCCATGCAGGCCCCGCCCCGACTCGGCCCGTGCAGACTCTCGCGAGCTTTGAAGCCGCAGGGCCGGCCCGGGCGGCTGCAATATGGCGGAGGCGGAAGGGGAGAGTCTGGAATCCTGGCTGAGTGAGTATCCACGGCCGCTTCTGCCTGCCCTCGAATCGCCCCCCTCGTCACCCCCACGTCCCCTCCCCGGGCTCTGCGGCGGCGCCGCCTGGCAGCCCGCGCCTGAGCTCGCCTCCTCCACGAGCGTCCGCGATCACGCCCCTTCCGGAGCAGGGCGCCCTGGCTCCAGCCGGGCCCCAGCTCCCGCGCGCGGCGGCGTGAACTCGGGGTCTCGTCGGGCCCTCGCAGGTTCGGGGGAAGCGACAGCCAAGTTCTTCGGGCAGACATGCACCTGCGCTTTGGGGAGATTGTGGTGGGGCCGCGCCCGGCTGTAACTCCGGGACCCCTGCACCCCAATCCCTGACGAAGGGAAAAGCTCTGGATTTGGGGTGAAGCTGCGGTAGTGGTGGGTGCCGCCGACCGTGCTCACACGCCTGGCGGCTTCGGAATTGTGACTATATATTGGAAGTGAGTGCTTTGCTCAGGCAAAATGCTTGAACTGAGAATAATTTTCCAAAGACAGTGACGACAGGCAGGGAACAGAGCTCTACCTTTTTTGTGCAATGACCAACCATGGTTATGTCGGTGTTCGGGACCCTCTCCCCACCCCTTCTCTCTCTCTCTCTCTCACACACATACACACACGCTGAATATCTTAATGAGTTCATTGATAACGTACTCTGAGTAAAGCTGAGGAGCACGGGCTGAAGCCGTAGTTACAGAGGCATAATTGCTGTAATTGCTAATTCACGTTGCTATGAAAGAAATACTGGGTTAACCTTGCTAGCGGGTGGTACTCTGCTGAGGAGTTAGTAAGTGAACCTTCCTAAACAAGACCTCCTGGAGGCCTCTTTAAGTGAAGTCAGAAATTGGGTGATCAGGCAGATAAGATGCCTAGGTAGTAACTTGTGCTGGGCTCTCTTATTTAGTAGGGCCTTCGGGCCCTTGGAGGTGAGGGCTCTTTCTTTCAATTAATCAAGAGGTTGAACACAGATTTAAAGGGGAGCACATCCCAAAAGGGAGAGTAAGGTTACACTTGCAAAATCTGCAGTTGAAGGCAGGTCATAAAGCCTGTATATATGGAACTGTTCTCCAAGGAGCTCGAAGTACTCTGCAGACATTCATTAAATTCGTTACCAAGTATCGTAGCAAAGCAGGTGCTACTGCCACAATTTCATAAAAAGAGGACATCCTGATTCCAGTCAAATCACCACCCAGAACCACCCAACTGGATATAAGCAGAGTAGAATTAGTTTGATTTGCAGATATTAATGGGGAATATTAGAACAACTTAAGTGACCTAAGCTGAGTTTAATAGGCAGTATTTAGAGTTATATTTTGAAATAGGAGACTGACACACCTGTTTTTGAGGAAGTGTGGAGAAGGTGAGTGGGGAGTGGGATGGTATCTGTAGAGCTGAGATTGGCCTTTGACCTTTTCCCTTAGTTAGAGTTACATTTGGGGCAGTGTTAAGAGTTCGTCCATCTAATTATCCTCTGTTTACCTTCACAGTTCTAATGACATGATGGTGTAAACTGTACCAATTGAATGAACCAGTGCTTGGGGGTTCAGCACCATCTTAGTTAAGGTCTTTGTTACTCCATGGTTTACCTGAATTGTTGCAGAAGCCTCTGCTTGGCCCAGAGTCTCAGGTCTCTTCCTTCCTCTCCCTAGTCTGTTCTTCATTCTGCTCCCAGAAGGGCACTCTGTTTAGTCAGATCATTCCACTGCTGCCAAACCAGCTGCCACCCCTGTAACATGGCCTTGGTTATTCTCTGCCTGTTTTTGTGTGTGGCTTCCTGATAACTTGGCCCACCATCACATATTGCTCTCCTTACCTGGAAGTTCTACTCCCCTTTGCTCAACTAAATGCTTCAAAACCCATCTCGGAGTCTCCTTCCCCACAGATCATCTCTTGATGACTTCAGCCTTCTCTAAAGTCCTACCACAATCAATTTAAGAAGTACCTGCTATGTCAGGTGTTACAGGAATTAGGAAGTTCAAGCAGTCTTTGCCTTTAGTTGGATGGAGGTGATGGTGGAGTGGATAAAGCATTCTTAAATAAATAAAGACACAAGGCAGGCTAGGCGTGGTGGGGCACGCCTGTAGTCCCAGCTACTCAGGCTGAGGCAAGAGGATCACTTGAGTCCAGGAGTTGGAAGCTGCAGTGAGCTATGATCATGCTACTGTACCCCAGCCTGGGTGACAGAGCAAAACCCCATCTTCTCTTTTTTTCTTTGAGACAGAGTCTCACTCTGTCACCCGGGCTAGAATTCAGTGGTGTCATCATAGCTCGCTGCAACCTCAAACTCCTGGGCTCAAGCGATCCTCCTGCCTCAGCCTCCTGTGTAGCTAGAACTACAGGGTATGCCACCACGCCAGCTAATTTTCCTATTTTTTTAGTAGAGATGGAGTCTCCCTCTTGCTCAGGCTGGTCTTGAACTCCTGAGCTCAAGAGATTCTGCTGCCTTGGCTTCCCAGAGTGCTAGGATTACAGGCGTGAGCCACCGCGCCTGGCCTTGCCGCGTGAGCTGCTGCACCCAGCCAAGACTCCGTCTCTTAAAAAAAAAACAAAGGATACAAGGCAGGAGCCATAAGTGTTAAAATATAGTCTCTTTAGGAAATTAGGGATAAGAGGAATGGAAGATGGTTCAATGAGGAGATGATATTCGAGCTAGGCCTTAAAGAATGGGAAAAATTGGCAAAGAAAACACTAGATGCTGATGTGGAGAGAGCAAACCTGTTTGAGGCACACAGTAACAGAGGTGTTTGGCTGGTTCAGGCAGGAAGTTCTTGTAGGGGCATGATGGGAGATAAAGTTGGAAATTTAAGACAAAATTCTGGAAGATCTTGAATTCCAGCACAAGTTAAATATCTATGGTTATCATGTCCTCATTCCTCCTGTACCCGATGAAATCAGTGTTTTAGGAGGATTGATAAAGGGCTTTACATATAGGATGGGTTAGAACAGAAGTTCTGGAAGCCAGTGTGAAGGGTGCGGTTGGGGCAGGGATAAGAAAGGAAAGGACTGAAGGTAATGGGTGAGGAGAGGGAAGGAGGAGTCAATGGTGGGGGTTCTAATGTGTGTGTCTGGGGTGGGGGCACTGTTTATAGAAATAGGGAAGTCAGGAAGGAAAGTGGTGAGTTCATTTTTGCACTCATGTCTGCACCTAGTTAGCACTTATATACTGTCTTCTTTCGTGCGCTGATTTTTTTTCCCTCATGTGTTGAACCAGATAAACACAGCCTCCTTAAGGGTAGAATCTGTGTCTTGTACTTTTTCTGTAGTCCGTCCAGGGTCTGGCATGCTGTTTGCTTCATTGTCTATGGGTGCCTAACAAAGACTTGGTGATTGGCTAGGTTTCTCTTTTTATTCAGGACCCTACCTTTGAAGGCTGACCCTTTCCAGCCCATGTTCTTGCCTCTGCTCTTTTGTATGTCATTTGCTACATAGATCTTGTCTTCTCTGGAATATCTGAACCATGTTGGGTTGGGGTAGCCAGTGTTGCTCTTTCCATCCTTACATACCATTTTAAAGTCCCATGAGAGTCTAGGATAGTGGTGGAATTCAGCTGAAAATGAGAGCAAGAAAAGAAATCTAGAGGGACAGAAACAGAAGAGAATGAGGCTTTCAACAGAGACCTGAAAATAGACAAAAACCATGAGTCAGAGCAGAACCCAGGGGCTGGTTCTGGAAGGCAGGGGCTGCAGGGGAGGCTCTGGTGTCACCTCTGTTCCAGGTGAAGGAGAATGTCGAGTGGGTGGAAGGTTGCGTGCATCTGCTGCTGGAAGCAGTGGGCAGAGGGAGAGATCGAATCACCTAGAATTATTCCCAGAGGTTTTTTCCCATTCTTGTGGGAGGTCTGCTTTCTGAGCTGGCTGGAGAACCTGAGTAGATACTCAGAAACTGGGGCTTTCTGTGCCCTTGTGTAGGCAGGGAGCTCCCTGCAGATTTGGATTAGCAACGTCTATCCAGGTGAAAGAAAGTGGGATTCTAGAGAAATGAACACTGTGAAAAGTGGGCGGGAGTGTTCTTGGAAGTGCAGATGCTGTAGGAACTCTAACTGGTCTGGGAAGAATGTGGTGTGTGGTGAATGCCCATTGCTGTTGGGGGGAGCACAGGGTTGTTCCACATTTTACTCTGTATTTGGAAGATGCTTTTCCTGTTGTGAACAGTAGAAGTGAGTGGGCTAATTTCTCTCCTATCACGAGGTATATCACTGCTCTTAAAATAATAGCATTGGGGGGTGGGTATGGCACTTCAGACCATCTTATTTTTATATCCTGCAGCCTTTTGGTGTCATGTGAGAACTTTAAGCATCTCAAATGATAAGGATTAGTAACAAAGCCACACTGATGCCTGAGCAGACCTCAGACATGGTGGAAGAGACTCAGGGTTTCTCTGGAAGGTGATAGCTAATGGGTCGCTGTGGCAATCAATGCAGGATTGCCAGACATTTCTTTCCATATGGCCACCTTTGATTAAATTAATCTCTCCTACCTTCAAGCTTGCCATTTTGAAGTACTTGCTAATTCTCTTTCAGGATTGAGGACAGACCTTTTCCTCTGAATATGAACCTAAAGTATCAGAATCTTCCCCTTGCAGCCAGAGCAGAAACTCTAGCTACCGGGCAGGCCCAGCCCTGACCTGGGAAGCAGCATGCACTGGGTGAGGTGGGCCTTCCCTCTGCTTGGGGGAGGTGTCCGCTCAGAGCTCTGGAGCCCTGTTCCCAGTGAAGGGGCTGGAGTCCCTGATAGGATTCGGTCCTCCAGCTGGTGATTTTTAAAGTTAAGAAAACACCCACAATCGTGAGAAATCAGAATTCAGACACTTCTAACAGCATCCCTCAGAAGGGGCTCTGACGTTATGCTTTTGCTTCTTATGGAAATCTGCGTGTTCAGCCTTCCATTTGTCTTCTGAACCTGAAGCCCTAAATTTAGCAAACAGCTTGAGAGTGCTTTCTGGAAGAGACAGACTCCGGATCTGAATCAGAGAAGGGAGCCCATTTAGCCACCCTCAGCTGGGCTATCCTCCGTAACCCACAGGTTCTATAGATAAGAGGGAGAGGCCCAAACCAAATATTGGAGAACTCTGCATTCAGTGCCTGGAATTTTTTTTTTCTTTGAGATAGAGTCTCGCTGTGTCACCCAGACTAGAATGCAGTGGCTGCATCATCTCTAAGCTCCATGAGGTTGTGAATTTGTTTTCTTTCAAATTTTTGATTTTTAAAATACTAGACAGAAAGCAGTATTTGTTTTTGACTGCTGCCTGATTGAACTATTGAGGCTTCTCTATTAGAGAATAAATTTGGAAGCAAAATTTTACTGCCTAAAAATTGTGAAGAAGAGAGGAGGAGAGGGAGAAAAAAAATAAAAAAAATGTGAAGAAAACGTCTGTTGCATCCTCCTTGCTCTTCATAACAATTGTCCTTTTCTTTGCTGTACCCCAAGATAAAGCCACCAATCCTTCCAACCGCCAGGAGGACTGGGAATACATAATTGGCTTCTGTGATCAGATCAACAAAGAGCTTGAAGGGTAAGTCTCAACACTCTAATGGGGCAGGTGAGAGAGGGCTGACTAGGAAAGTCAAAAACTGTGGCCAAAACAGGGCTAGCCAGATGGCCCCAGGGCCATCGTACTGAAACTGTGGTCTGCTTGTCCCCTAGGCCACAGATCGCTGTTCGACTGTTGGCCCACAAGATCCAGTCTCCGCAGGAATGGGAGGCGGTCCAGGCCCTGACGGTAGGTTCTTTACTCTAGAGATGAGAGCAGTGTCTCTTCACCTGTCCAGACCCTTCCTCATGTATCCACTGGGATCTCGGCGGTTCTCAGGGCTCATGCCGAAAAGCTAGCAGAAAATCCTTGATACAAACTATATCTAGAACATGTCTAGTCAGCCATTCTACACACGTGTGCACTGTGCCCAGCACTAGTGTTTTGAAGGCGACTGCTGTGTTTTCTCTGCCAGCATGGCCACCTGGCCAGTGTAAGAGGGAGAAGTGTGGAGGCGGGGAGCCCACAGGCAGGGCCCCTAAGCCCAGCATGGGGCTAGAGAAGGCCTCTTGAAGCGATGCCCACAGAGCTGTCTTGACAATTAAGTAGGCCGGCTGAGGAAAAGTGAAGTGAGTACCATTTACTGTGTAGTTAAACATAATGCAGTGTTGAGCTGCTGGGTAAGGCCACAGGGCAGATCTTAGAGTTCATTAAGACTAAGGGAGTTGAAGACATGGAGTGGTATATGGCACTCAGGTGCCTCCAGGCTCTCCCTAGACTACAGAGCAGCCGAGTTCTGAGGAATCCAGGGTTCTGTCCTGATCTTTGAGTCCTGGAAAGATAGAAGACAGGAAATAGCACTTAGCACATGCATCTCTCTCATGTTTGCTGTAGAGCTTGGACCTTAAAACAGTGATTCTTAACAATGGGCGATTTTGCCCCCCAGGGGACATTTTGCAGTGTCTGGAGACATTTTTAGTTGTCACACATCAGGGTGGGAGTGTTCTGACATCTAGTGGGGTACTGCCTGGCATCTTGTCCCTCTCTGAGTGCCACTAGATGTTCAACATTCTGGAGTGCACAGGACACACCCAAAACAAAGAATGACTGCCCCAAAATGTCAGCCGGGCCACAGTTGAGAAACCCTGCTTTAAAAAACAGAAGCCAAAAAAAGGGAAATTTTAAAAAACATAAACAGAAGCCAAGAAAGGGAGCTCTGAGGTGGCACACCCCTCATTATGAACTCTGTGGGTGCCAGGGCCACGGGTGGCACAGAGAAGCATGTTAGGGACATAAAGGAAGGTGGGGGCCGTGGTGTCATCTAGACTGACGATAACAAGATTTAAACATTCTCTCCCCCTAATGTTGGTCAACTTGTGGAAAGGACCCTGAGTCAGAGAGACTTTGTCCCTGGACCTCAGTTTCTTCATCTGTAAAAGTAGGAGGCCAGAGCCTTTAAGGAAGGCACCTCCCAGGACTGGCATCCAGGCTGTCTTGGTGTCTGGGTCTCAGGGTTTCTTACTTTAACCCAGGCGTAACTTCCCCAGCAGAGGTTTGCAGTTGTGTGAGCCAGTTGTTTAACCTGCGCTGCTCCCCAGGGTGGAGGGCAGTACGGGCTGCTTTCCGTGGTGAGTTCTGCATCTGGGGCATTTATTTAGCACTGCCGGGTGTCAGGTGCCATCTCACTGAGCTCCTCTCTGTGTGGCTCCAGGTGCTGGAGGCGTGTATGAAGAACTGTGGGAGGAGATTTCATAATGAAGTGGGGAAGTTCCGTTTTTTGAATGAGTTAATCAAAGTCGTCTCTCCAAAGGTCAGTCACTGGCAGTTTCCTTGCTTCTAGGGACTTCTTATGTGTTCCTCTCCATCTCCCATCTTAATGGCTTTCACTGCCCAACCACATCCCCACAGAGCTGAGATGCTCTGTGTCTTGCCCTTAGAGAGTAAGGCCCTGGAGGTGATGGGGACCAAATAGACCACATGGACAGGCAGCCTATGTGTGACAGATGGTGCAACAGTAGCTGTGCGAGTGCCTGGGGTGGGGGCCTGAGTAGCTCCTAGCATACAGCAGTTGTGGATTTTTTTTGCCTCTTACGTGGATATGAGGAGCCCCTGGGCTCCCTCATCACTCAGCTGTTCAGCTGGCCAGGTTCTGTTGCGTGCCAGCATTGCATAGCTGCCAGCATTGCGTAGCTCCGGGTACTCACTTAAAGCAGAGGGAACATTTTTTTCATGCTAAAGACATGCTCATGAACTCCTTCAAGATTAAATGCAGTTGTGGTTTGGCAGCTTGTGCACGGAAATGCAATGACGGGCTCCTGGCCCCCTGCCTAACCACAGACTATCCAGATGGACACAGCCAGGCCACAGGAAGGTCCCTCCCTTCCCCTGCTGTGTCTCACACACACCTTAACACCTGCTGGTGTTGAGTAGGCTTGAGGCCTGTAACTAACAGGCAACTGTGTCATTGCTGGGAGGGGGAGCCTTACACTTTCTCTGCCTCCAAACTGCAGTTACTAGGTTCTCTTATTTCATTTTGCCGCTTAGTACCTGGGGGACAGGGTGTCTGAGAAAGTGAAGACCAAGGTTATTGAGCTGCTTTATAGCTGGACCACGGCCCTGCCGGAAGAAGCAAAGATCAAAGATGCCTACCACATGTTGAAGAGACAGGGTACGTGTCTACCTTCCCTCAGGCTCAAGGCAGCCCTTGAAGGCCGGCCAAGGCAAGGAAGAGAAGGGAATTATTTGGTGTCCCCAGACTCCCTCGCTCCTGAAGAGAATGGCATTTGTCCCCAGGGCAGAGCTCAGCAGGGTCTCAGTGGGATGAAGTGTGAGCAGCCTGCCCTGTGCCCTGCGCCCTCTTGCAGGTCTTGATCACAGGGATGTGGCCCTTGGTGTATGAGCAGGGGTGACGAGGTGACCACAGCCTGAGCACTCGCTCTGCCCCCATGTGCCCTTTCAGGCATAGTGCAGTCTGACCCACCAATCCCTGTGGACAGGACGCTGATCCCCTCTCCACCACCTCGTCCCAAAAACCCTGTTTTTGATGATGAGGAGAAATCCAAGGTAAAGTACATCCAGGCCTGGGGTTTTCTCAGATTTGAGGTGGCAGCAGCAGGGGGAAGATGGTTTTGCTTGGTGCTTTGGGGAGCTGGCGTGCTACCTTTACCTTTGATGTCCTCCTCTTCCAGCTTTTAGCCAAGCTGCTGAAAAGCAAAAACCCTGATGATTTGCAAGAGGCGAACAAGCTGATCAAGTCCATGGTGAAGGAAGTGAGTGGGCCCTGGTCCTTCGGATGTGGGGTGGAGGAGCCACACACACAGGGCAGAAGCTGCTTCCCTGGATGTCAGGCCTCTTTTGTTCTCTCTGCCGCCAGCCCTCACCTGGGGAAGCTGAGGCTGGGAGGGGGAGCACTGTGGCTTCTGGAAGAGCATAGAAGGGAGGAGCACAGATGGGTTGGGGAGGGTGTTGCTGTGAAAAGACTGCAGATTGGGTCCCAGGAACCACGCCCCTGTGCTTATGTTACGGGGTAGGGTGTGGCCCTCTCCTGGTGGGAGTGGGAAGACCGAGCTGTTGAGCTCTTTCTCCTGATCCTCGCTGATGTGCAGGACGAGGCGCGCATCCAAAAGGTGACCAAGCGTCTGCACACGTTAGAGGAGGTCAACAACAACGTGAAACTGCTCAGCGAGATGCTGCTTCACTACAGCCGAGAGGACTCTTCAGAGGGAGACAAAGAGCTCATGAAGGTGGGCCCACCCTTGGGTGAAGAGCCGCCTCATGGGGCTACTGTGCAGGAACGTTCAGAACCAGCCCGTGCTGAGTACTTGCCTGTTGACGACACTGGGCTACATGCTTGGCATTCACGGCCTCGGTCATCTGCGTGGTGGCCACAGAAATGGTGGCATCCCCATCTAACACCTGAGGTTGCTAACTAACCCAGGGTACAAGGGCCAGGTGTAAACCTGCGTGTGTGACTCCAGAGACCGTGCCCTTCGTGCTCACCTCTGCTGTGCACCTTTCCTTACTGCCTCAGCGGCATCCTGTGACCCCATGCTGATGTGGTCCAGGCTGCGGCTGGGGGATAGTTTGAGTTCTGAGGTGCATGCCAGCCTGGGAGATGGGAAGGGACTTACTGACCGTCTGAGCAGACGTCTTGGGGGACACGGTGTGGTGGTGGCTGGTGGCAGGAAGACGAGTGCTCTGGTCCCAATGCTGCCAGTGATTGACCATGGCGCGTTGAGGATCCTCTTTGTTTTCTGGTCACGAATGCCAGATCACGTGATCTCTGAGGGCCTTTGCAGTTGTGATTTTTTTATGTCTGGGTTTCTTTCAGGAGTTGTTCGATAGGTGTGAGAACAAGAGGCGGACGTTATTTAAACTAGCCAGTGAGACAGAGGACAATGACAACAGTTTGGGTGAGTGAGAAGGACTGGTTGGCAAGGATGAGCCAGGAATTTGGCTGTGTTGGTGGGGAAGTTGTCATAGCCAGGTGTAAGGAATCTGTTTTCTGCTCCAGGGGACATCCTGCAGGCCAGTGACAACCTCTCCCGGGTCATCAACTCTTATAAAACAATTATTGGAGGGCAGGTCATCAATGGCGAGGTGACCACCTCAACTGTGCCTGATTCTGAAGGTAAAATGTTCTGGTTCCCCATTCTGGACCCCTCCAAACCACCCTGACTCCCTGCCACACAGCCAGGGGTGCAGCTGACCAGTGTGGCATTCCATAGGACCTGAGGGGTTCTTGACTGTCACAAGTGTTCCCCCTGCCTCCTCCAGCTCCCCTTACAGTGTCCCCCAGCAGAAATGCCTTTGGACTGGGCCAGAGGCTGGAGCCATCAACTGCTGCGCCCAGGGTCCTGCCTCCTGCTGCACAGCCACAAGAACAACCCAATTGTTCCTGTCTTCTTTCTGTTGACCCGTCTAGGGAACAATCACTTCAGTAACCAAGGCACTCTCATCGACCTTGCTGAGTTGGACACACTGAATAGTCCATCCTCTGCATCGGCTCTGGCGCCCACTCCACCCTCCTCAGGCATCCCGATCCTCCCACCTCCCCCCCAGACCTCGGGCCCTCCACGCAGCCGCTCGTCCAGCCAGGCCGAGGTCCCCCTGGGGCCCAACAGCACAAACAACGCCCTCTCCTTGCTGGACGAGGAGCTTCTCTGCTTGGGTGCGTCCTAGAGAGGGGCTGAAAGGTGTTTCTTCTGGTGGAGCCCTCAGAGGAAGAGGGGCTGGTGGCATCAGAAGGTAGCCCGAGGGTGTCCCAGTGTGTTTATCAGGGGTGGGCAAAGCGCCTCCAGTTGTAGGGAACAGAGTCAGTCAAGGTCACTGACCCTTGAGGCCACCAGGGCAGTCTTACCAGTGGACTCTAGGACTGGCTCTGCTCCCCTCTCCCTGGGAGGGCCCTCACGTCTGTGTGTGAGGACTGAAGGGGACCTGTTGCCCTCCGGAGGCTGCCTGAAGAAGAGCTCCCTACCCCTTCACCCACTGATACCACTTGTCACCTGATCCTTCCTCAGCAAGGGCTGCCCCATCCCATCCCAGAGCCTTTTCTCATGGAGTTCCCTTCTCTGTTCTCAGGCCTCACTGACCCAGCCCCTAATGTTCCTCCCAAAGAGCCAGCTGGAAATAACCAATGGCACCTGTTCCAGGTAGGTAGATACTGATGGTGGTATCACGAAAGTGTCTGAGGACTTTCACTTACTAGCCTCATCTCTCCTGACCGGTTCTTGGCTACAGTCAGCTGGGGCCCAGGCTGTCCCTGCCCTCCAGAGTGCTGCCCAGCGTGGCTGGGAGATGGATCAATCGCCTCAAGGGGCTCTGCTCAGCCCTGTCCTTGGAGGGCTGCTGGTCCAGCAGGGTTGCACACCTCCAATGCCCCTGGTAGAATAGGGCCAGGGCCTGCAGGGCTATGCCCCTTGCCACCTGCAGCAGGCCCTCCCCGGCCTTTGCTCACCTGCCCTTTCTGTTGCCCACAGAGTGAACACTCCAACCTGGACTTCTTCAGCCCCAAGCCAGGGCCTGCTGCCTGCAGCGCCTCAGACGCTTCTCTGCTCCAGCCCTCAGCCCCCTCCTCAGGCAACTCCCAAGCTCCACTGCTGCCTCCCTTCCCAGCCCCTGTGGTCCCAGCCAGTGTTCCTGCCCCCACTATGGGTTCCTTCCTGTTCTCCACTGGACCGGCCCCAGCTTTGACCCCAAAGGCTGAGCCTGCGGTCCCTGATCACCATAGCTCGGCACTAGGCGATAGCACCCTGCACCACCTGGATGCCCTCGATCAGCTTCTGGAAGAGGCCAAAGTGTAATGAGTGGGAGAAGAGGTGGGGTTGCTGAGGGCTGGGCATGGCAGAACCACAGGTTGGGGAGAAGATCCCTTTTGGCCCAATCAGTCGGGAGGGAAGCTGAGGGGGTAGGGATGGGTAAGAGCTGTCTCTGGCATGGGGGGCCTTTGTGAGGGATTGGCCCAGCAGATCTGACTTGCCCTGTCTTCCTGCCTCCCAGGACATCAGGCTTGGTGAAACCTGCCTCCCACTTTTCCTCTGGAGCCACGGCCGCCCCTCTGATCCCCACCACCCCAGCCAGGCCTCTCTTGCCCTTCTCCACCGGGCCTGGCAGCCCTCTCTTCCAGCCACTGGCCTTCCAGCCTCAGGGCAGCCCCATGAAGGGGCCCCAGCTCTCCCTGGCCAGTGTCCATGTGCCCTTGGAATCGATCAAGCCTAGTAGGTGTTAGAGGCTTGACTGGGGGGAGGGAGCAGGGGCCCACAGCTGCAGTACTGTGGGGCATGCGATGGGTGGGTCCTTGCGGGGATCCCTTGGAGCCAAGTGAGGCTGGCTTGCCTGCTGCGTCAGCCTTCCAGACTCTATGAGGGAGGGTTGTATTTGTCGTGGCCAGGGTAGCCCCTCTCCCCCAACTTGTGGCTACAGCAGGTACCACCGGGGCTCAGTCGGGTATCTTTGGCTCGCTCTCCTCCCCCATCCATGTGCCAACTTCTTGCAGGCAGTGCCCTTCCTGTGACAGCCTATGATAAAAATGGCTTCCGCATCCTCTTCCACTTTGCCAAGGAGTGTCCTCCAGGACGGCCTGATGTGCTGGTGGTGGTGGTATCGATGCTGAATACAGCGCCCTTGCCAGTAAAAAGCATTGTGCTGCAGGCTGCAGTGCCCAAGGTACTCCCTCCTCCTAGGGGGCAGCCATCAACAGCAGTGTGGAGCCACTGGGGTCAGATTGGGTTCCATCGTGGGGCACCTGCTGCTCTCTTGAAAGGAGCTTCTCTCTATCTTTAGTCCATGAAAGTGAAATTGCAGCCACCCTCTGGAACAGAACTCTCTCCATTCAGCCCCATCCAGCCACCTGCAGCCATCACCCAGGTCATGTTGCTGGCCAATCCACTGAAGGTGAGCAGGGTAGAACCCACGGGTCCTAGCTGCCCCAGATTAGTACCTTAGGACCGATACCTCCCACCCTGAAGTGCTGTGACCTGCAGCTTAACACATCCCTTTGCTGCCCTGGGTTAAGTGGCTGAGTGTGGCTGGTGGTTGGTGGGAATAGGGATGATCCCTCTACCACAGAGGGCTGCGAGAGGTTAGCAGAGAAGAGGGCATCCTGCTGAGGGGCCACCTAGGCTGAATCTCACCCACTACCCTCTGTCACAGGAGAAAGTGCGGCTTCGGTATAGGCTGACCTTTGCCCTGGGGGAGCAGCTGAGCACGGAGGTGGGCGAGGTGGACCAGTTCCCTCCTGTGGAGCAGTGGGGGAACCTATGACCCCAGAGGACGCTGTGATCTCCACTTTGAAGCCCAGGCAGGCTGCCCTAAGATGGGGAGTGCTCTGGTCCAGTCACTCTCCATGTCCTGACGACAGTGCTTATAGCTTTGACATGGAACAGGGGTCCTGCGCATTTCTGCTGGGAGCCAAGCTGCTGCTGTGATAACCACTCTTTTGGCCCCCTAAGAGGATCTGTTTTTATCTACCTGTGTGACTTGAAGTGGCCATATGCTGTCAGGGGTGGGGAGTGGTCCCTGACTTCACTACTGTCCTGGGAACATGGACCCCAGGCTTGGAGTAGATTTTTTCCTCTTTTTACTGGCATTCACTGAAGCCCTGGGTGGGGCGGTCTCTGAGGAGAGAGTATCGTCTCCCCAACCCCCCAACAAGAACCACACCCTCATACCCCACAGAGGTGCAGCCTGAGAGAGGCCCCCTGCCCCACCCACCCCTGTTGTGATTCTGTGCTTCCCCTGCTGGCAGGCTCCTGCTGCCCCTTCCAGGGAAGTGGCCCAAGCCCAGTGGTCCAAGATGGTGTTTGGCCCAGGGTGAGAAATGGTACACTGGAGCCCTACCTTCCGCGGTCAGTAGCATCCTGGAACGGCCACTGAGTGATGAGTTGCGTGCTTATCTCTGGCAGTGCCATGCTATGTCCTATGGACATCTCAGCAGGACATGGAACTCAGCCTAGCAGAAACAGAACTTGGCCTTCTGATAAACTAGGAATAGGAAAGAAAATGAAGAGAACCAATATTTTCCCTTCTCCAAAAGCAGGTGAGCTTTCTGGGAAAAGTGTGCATCCAACTGTGGGGCAGGCCATCCTACTCACTACCTCTTGCTTGGCATGAAGTAAACTGCTGTCCTCCCCTTAGAGTCTCTGAAGGGAAGGACAACTGCTACCCTCTGTGTTCTCCTGCTTTGGCCTCCTCCTCCCACCAGATGGCATGTGGTGTGGTTGGACACCAGAGGCCTCAGGGTCAAGCACGTTGCACTAGACATGTCCTAACGTGTTGCCCAGAAACCCTGTTCCCAGCTCCCCAGGGGCACCGTCAGCGAGATGCTGGGTCTGGAGGTGATGAGATCAGAGCCATGCTTGAGCCAAGTCACCAGAGCCTGTGCTTTAACAGTGCTTGGCCCCAGCTAGCTTGTCCCAGCTGCTCTGACAGGTGGATGCAATCCTGGGCCAGGGATACGAGGCCTGACAAGGCTACGGGAAAGAGAACCACCAGCTGCCACAGAAGCTGGGGAAGAGCTCACAGCTCAGCTGGTATGGGCTCAGCGATGGACATCTCTGGGAAAAGGGAGGTGGCACAAACCACATTCCCTGATCCCCTCACCCCTCGCAGGACTCCCTTACTCTGGATCAAGAGGTCATGTCCTTTCCCCTCGCTGTCTTTAGCAAGCAGGTTTCACTGCTTCATTAGGACAGGCCAAAAGTAAATCATTTTCACTACTTAAGAATGAATCCAAGAGCTTTCCAGAGACTGGCTTCTGCAGCCCTGGGAATGTCTGTGGGATTACTATGTGGAAATGTACCTTTATAATAAGCTTTAGACATTAAAATTATTTAATGAGTGTTACTCGTTACTATTGAGGTCACTGCTTTGTGGCAAACAGCTGTACTGGATATACCAACTCTGCTGCCCTTGTTTTGCTGCATGTTAAATAAAACCATTTTCACCCTACTTGGAATCCTTCTAATATAGACACCATTCACCCCGATGGGGAAGGTGCCACCTGTGAATTCCAAACATACATAGGTGGGTTAGGCTATGCTGGAGTTGCTTGAGGTTTCTGTTAAAAGTACAAGTTCCTGAATATTTTTATTAAAAAAGCAGGTAACCAAAATGTCAACAGAATATTGAATGTTCCAGATGAATCTGAGGTTAGGCAAGCTTTCAGAAACACAAACCACCAAGGGCTCTTGTTCAGATTTACAATTATAGGGAGGAGGAGGACACTGCACTCATCATTCATAACTTCTGGGAGTGGCTTCTCTAAGGAGACACAGGAAGACAGTTCCATGTCAAAGAGAACATGAAACAAGCATTTTTTTACTACTACCTCGGATTCAGAGTAGACATAGATAACTCCCTGCCTGGACAGTGGTCCATAAGAACTTATATTTGCAAAAGAGAACATTTATTTTAGAATTCTATATACATAGCCATACAGAGATACCACACTGAAGCAGCTCTCTCAGGAACCTTCCAGTGAGCCTTCTCTTAGAATTGCCCCAGCAAGATTTCGTGCAAGAGCAAGTCTCAGCATTTCCACCTTGGTGGTCTCTATGTCATCATCCTGCAAAGCAGAGAGAGCCAGCATGAGCCAGCAGGAAGGATTCCTTCCTTAAGGTTCCTGAAGGTTCTACCTAATCCAAAGGTAGAAGGCAGACAGAGAACATTTAACATTAAGTAGTAGCTTCCAGCAAGTAAAGGGCCATTCTGAAGGACAGGAAAGAGAAAAAAAAACGTAGGAATCAAAATACTAGAATTGCCCATTTTCTCCTAAAAGAAGTTGGTGTGTCAGCTACAGGTCAAGGGAGAACTAAGAGCCACATGAGTTCATAAGGAGCCAGTGTCTCTGGAAGGAAAGGGAGGGGAAGCCCAAGAGAGTCAAGTCTTTTCCCATCTCTGTACCTCCCTTGTGGAACCATCGGCCAGAAGTTAAAATGACCTGGAGTTGCTGGGCATCAGGTTCGCCGTGCTCTGGCCTTTCTGATGTCAAGTCCTCCAAACACCGCATCAGCTCATATGTCTGTTCTGCTGAAAAAATCACCTAGAAGAGAGAGGCTGCTCTGCTTAGCTGCTCTGCTTAGCTGCTCCCCAGCAAAGGCCTGCACTGATTGGGGCACAGGCCCAAGTTCAGAGAAGTTCTTCCTTCTGTGCCTTTCTGAAGAATGTGCTTTGTACAAGAAGCCCTGGGAGGATGAAGCAGCTTCTAATTCTCACTTCTGGCCCTTCTAGTCAGTGCCCTGGGCTGAGTACAGTTGGTAGACAGCTCTTCATTTCAAAGTAAGTGGTTTTCTCGTGTGAACGTGGGATTTACAGAGGAGGTACTATGGAGGACTACGTGCGTGTGCACACATGTAACTACTTGGGAGAAAACACGTGCACATCTGCAATAGCTACAGAACTAAGCACTGTCGGGACTCTAAAAGGTAGAGAAGAAATTCACCGCTGACTCAACTGTTACCTGTTTCTGTTCCAAAAGGGGCAGGGCATCTGTTAGCAGTGTCATCCAGAAAGACCGAGGGGCAATCTGAGAAGTCATCAATGACAGGAGAAGAGAAGCGGCATCAACAAAACGCTTCTCCCCATATAATCGGTGGAACTCGCGGTACTTTCCTGTTAAGAAAGGAGAGCAGGAGGTCACCTTCACATTCTGTTAAATGGCTCAAGTGAAACCTACAAAAGGCACCCTACAAAAGGCTGGGCGTGGTGGCTCATGTCTGTAATCCAAGTGCTTTGGGAGGCCAAGGTGGGAGGTTTGCTTAAGCCCAGGAGTTTGAGACCAGCCTGGGCAACACAGTGAGATCCCATCTCTATAAAAAAAATTAGCCGGGGTGGTGGCATGTGCCTATAGTCCCAGCTACTCGGGAGGCTGAGGCAAGAGGATTGCTTGAGCCCAAGAGTTTGAGGCTGCAGTGAGATATGATGACACCACTGCACTCTAGCCCAGGCAGAGTGAGACCTTGTCTCCAAAAACAAAAAAAGCAGCACAAAGAAAGATGGAGGCACAAAAAAAGAGACATGACAACTAAATTCTTTTTTTTTTTTTTGAGACAGAGTCTCACTGTGTTGCCTGGGCTAGAGTACCCTGGCATCACCCTAGCTCACAGCAACCTCAAACTCCTGGGCTCAAGCGATCCTCCTGCTTCAGCCTCCCGAGTAGCTGGGACTACAGGCATATGCCACCATGCCCGGCTAATTTTTTCTATATGTTTTTAGTTGTCCAATTAATTTCTTTCTAATTTTAGTAGAGACGGGGTCTCGCTCTTGCTCAGGCTGGTTTCGAACTCCTGAGCTCAAACAATCCGCCCGCCTCGGCCTCCCAGAGTGCTAGGATTACAGGCGTGAGCCACCGTGCCCGGCCGACAACTAAATTCTTAATCCTGGACATGACAGGACCTTACTGGGACAGCTGATGTAATCAGAATATGGATTGCGAATTAAATAATATTGTATCAATGACAGATCTCCTGATTTTGATAACTATTATTTTTAGGAAATACACACTGAAGTATTTAAGGAGAAAGGGGAACAATATCTCCAACTTACTCTAAAATTGTTCCCAAAAGAATTAACTGACCAAATGAGGAAAGAATGACAAAAAAAAGCAAAATATAAAGTCATCCCTCAATATGCCCAGGGCATTGGTTCCAGGATCCCTGTGGATACCAAAACCCAAGGACGTTCAGGTCTCTCATATAAATGGGGTAGCCTTTGTATAGAACTTATGCAGATCCTCCCATGTACTTTAAATCATTTCCAGATTACTCACAATACTTAATACAATATAAATGCTAAGTAAATAGCTGTTATATAATGAGAGGGAAAAAACGTCTAAAGCCGGGCACAGTGGCACGAGGCTTGTAGTCTCAGCTACTTGGGAGGCTGAGGCAAGAGGACATTTGAGCCCAGGAATTCAAGGCTGTAGTGTGCATCATGATCAAGCCTGAGAATTCAGCCACCGTACTCTTATCTAGCCTGGGCAGCATAGTGAGACATCATCTCAAAAAAAAGAAGTCTAGATATTCAATGCAGATGCAACCATCCATTCAGTTGGTTGAATCCACAGATGCAGAACCCTCAAATATAACGGGCCAAATGTAACTGGTGAATCTGGATGAAACGTATACGGAAGCTCCTTATTCCTTATACTATTTTTGCAACATATCTCTAAGTTTGAAATTACTGGAAAATAAAATGTTATCAAAAACTGCAGAGTCTGGCACATACGGTTCTACGTAGTTTGGAGTTTGGGTTTAACAGGAAGGAAAAACTTAGAGAAGTCTAGAATGATCCCTCCAACCTCTATTAACTGTTCACTTATGCCCAAGGTCCAGGGGGACAGAACCCAGAGAACTCACCCAGGAATGTCAGTCGGTCACTGAGCATCATGGCTGGCCCCAAGTTGTCAATGAGATCCAAATCAGAAAAACAGCCTCGCTCACAGTAATCCCTGAGGAACCTGCGCGCCAGGCCCAGAGATCAGAGCAGCAGTCCCAAGCCCACTTCCTCAACCTCCCAACCTCCCAGACAACCCCTGGAAAGCCAGCACCTGCTGAACCCACCTGTCTGACACAAGCGTGGCAAAGGCAGCATCTTTAGCACGGATGCTCCAAGAAAGGGCGGAACCCAGGCGATTGTTGCGGACAGCTTTCATGGCTAAGATCTTACAAATGCTGCGAACTTTGCAGGGGGAAAGAGAAAAAGACAAACCCTTTCACCCCCAAAATCACCATTCCTGAGCCCTGCAGGGATAGAGGCGACTTTCCCCCAGCCTCTCCCGTAGGCTCTAAACACAGCTGGGTCAGCAGAACTAGAAACTCTGGGGTTTACAAGTGGCGTATGGGTTCTGCTAACAATATAATGACCCACCACAGTGGGATAGGCTATATGACCAGATGTGATTTCAGGGGTGGCAAAAATATTTTGTTTCTCCCCACATATCAGCTCCTCCATTACCTGTCCGGGTATCTAAAACCTTATCTTCCTTTAGGTCTGGAACACCATATGCTTTCAGAGATGGTCACAAACGTGTGACTGCCTGTGGGCAATCACAGCTCAGGTTTTTATCATGCAACAGTGAGGAAGAAAAGAAGGGGCAAACTTGTCCATACTCGTTCCCCTCCCTGTGTTCTTCCGGAGCCACCTCCAGCACCACTTCCCCACAGAGCCAGGCTTAGCTACCAACACAATTCCCTTGGGACAGGGAAACTCAGCACTGATTCCAGGCCTGACCTTGTGGAGAAAGAGCGAGGAAGTGGCTCAGGGCCTTTTCTAAAAGGTACGTGCTAGATCTCTTCTCAGTCCCACTGGATCCCTTGCTCTCTTGTCCCTCCCTAGTAACTGTCCTGTGTCTTAGTTTACCTGTTGACATCCACTGCCTCTCCAGTGTGGCTGGTGAGGAGGAGGCCGGCATGGTGTAGGCTGGGAACAGGGCCAACTCACCTTGTTCAGTCATCTGCCGCTGCTCACAAATTCGCAGCACCTTGAGGGCTTTCTGCTCGGTGTTCAGAGGGATTCGCTCAATGTGCAGCTCCAAGGAAACTCGGCCCAGCTCAGGGCAGTAGTCAAAGTAATCCACCCCCAGTTGCCACAGGCTGCAAAAGTCCGAGGAGGACAAATAAGGGTGGTGAGCCCATGTGCTGCCCTGGGGCTCTGGAGCCTGGTACCTAAGGAACCAGGGATCTTAGGAAACCAGAGAACAGTCTAAGCTCAAAGGGCACCTGTATGCTGAAGAACATCCCAGCATACCCTACACCCATGGGGACTTTCCTACCTGTGATGAGCAAACAGTCCTGAGGCATATTCCAGCAGGAGGAATTCTCTCATGTTGGAACCAAAACTAGAATAAAATGTAACGTAAGACCAAGACTCCTTGCTAGCTCCATTCAAGGCCGCCTTCCTCTGCCCAGCCTCCCTTCCAGGCATTTGGCTCTTCCCACCCTCGAGG